CTAGGAATTTTTACTGAAATTGGGCTCCAGGTGTGGAGTGATTCAGTCGGTTTGTCCTCATTCAAAACGGTGATTTTAGGATGCGGCGTACAAACTGTTCGCGTTTTTGGCTTGCGAAACTGTACAGCAACGGGATCACAAAAGTGCTTCTGGATGAAACAGCGAATGTATTAGCCGAATTAATCTCGGAAGCGGACAATGCTTTGGTAGTGCTGCATAATTCGTTGCGCAGCGATTGCTTGCTGCCCGATGTGCCACTGTGCCAGCTGAGCTCTCTGGATTTTGGCTGCTGCGAACTGGACGCGGACGATGCAATGTGGTCTCAGTCCGATCGCCTTCTTTTTGCCTGGATTTCCGTTCAAAAATTTTTCATCCATGCATTTGACGACAATAAAATTTGGCTGCTACGACGATGCTTGATATCCCGTTACTCATCCGTACGGCAGAAGGCATTCAACTATTTGGTACAGCTATTGCACAAAAAAGTGGTAAAATACTTTTGTGATTTTATAAATTCTGCTAGGCTTGCCCTCCAACAATCTATGTTTGCTTTTCAGCAACTGATTTTTTCTGTGTTTTCATTTCAAATGATTTTATTAAATTGACTTATTTTCTTTGCATATTTAGCTTTTCGCGCCGAATTGGTGCGATGATTTGCGAAATTTTGTGCTGGACAATTTGGGCACCAGCAATGGCGATTTACGTCTTGCTGTATTGAGCTTTATGCGCAGTGCCGATGAGACATTCCGCATGGATTTAAGCCAGAAGTTATTGCGAGAGGTGGACATTCGCAATTATCCACGTCGAATTTTGTTTGCTTTGAAACTTCTCAATGGACAGACCCTTCACATATCGAATAGTTTCGTTGAGCATATTGCTGAGTTACTCAGTAGCGGTAACGCAGAGATGAGGTTAATTTTTACCAAAATTCTTTTTTTCCAGATGCAGGCTTTTTTTTTTGTTCTGCATGATGAATCATACATTAAAGAATGTAGTCAGCCGGAAATGGAGTATTTTTGATCTTATATCGTCTCTTAGTCATTGAGGTGCACCAAAAGTAACAGCGTTCGGGTTACACCAGAGATATTTTTAGACATTAGTTATGATATTTAAAAAAAAAAAATGTTAAAAAGTTAGGTGAACAGGATTGTTTTGGTTCATTAAGCAGTAATGTCACA